GTTGTGGTGAATAATTTTTTTAAGTATTGTTGGATCTAGTTGGCTAATATCTTGTTGAGGATTTTTGCATCCATGTTCATTAGGTAAATTGGTCTATAGTTCTCCTTTTTTGTTGGGTTGGTTTTGGAATCAAGGTAATGCTGGTTTCACAGAAAGGGTATGAAAGTTTTCCTTTCATTTCTATTTTTTGGAACAGCTTCAAGAGAATAAGTGTTAACTCTTCCTTAAATGTTTGGTAGAATTCCCCTGGAAAGCCATCTGGCCCTGGACTCTTGTTTTTTGGGAGATTTTGATTATTAATTCAATTTCTTTACTGGTTATGGGTCTGTGCAAATTTTGTTTCTTCCTGTTTCAGTTTTGGTAGTGTATATGTTTCTAGTAATTTGTCCATTTCTTCCAGATTGCCCATTTTATTGGCATATAATTGCTCATAGTATTCTCTTATTAATGTTTTTATTTCTGCTTTGTTGGTTGTGATCCCTCCTCTTTAATTCATGATTTTATTTATTTGGGTCCTTTCCTTTTTCTTTTTGATCAAACTGGCTAGGGGTTTATCAATTTTGTTAATTCTTTCAAAGAACCAGCTTCTGGTTTCATTGATCTCTTCTACTGCTTTTTGATTGCTATAGCATTAATTTGTGCTCTAATCTTTATTATTTCCTGTCTTCTTCTGGTTTTCGGTTTTATTTGCTGTTCTTTTTTCAGCACTTTAAAGTGTAAGGTTAGGTTGTGTATCTGAGACCTTTCTTCCTTCTTTAGGAAGGCCTGGATTGCTATATACTTTCCTCTTATGACCATCTTTGCTGCATCCCAGAGGTTTTGGGTTGTGGTGTTATCATTTTCATTGGATTCCATATACTTTTTAATTTCCTCTTTAACTTCTTGGTTAGCCCATTCATTCTTTAGTAGGATGTTCTTTAGTCTCCAAGTATTTGTTACCTTTCCAAATCTTTTCTTGTGGTTGATTTCGAGTTTCATAGTGTTGTGGTCTGAAAATATGCACGGTATGATCTCGATCTTTTTGTGCTTGCTGAGGGATGATTTATGTCCCAGTATGTGGTCTATTCTGGAGAACATTCCATGTGCACTGGAGAAGAATGTATATTCCACTGCTTTAGGATGAAATGTTCTGAATATATCTGTTAAGTCCATCTGGTCCAGTGTGTCATTCAAAGCCATTGTTTCCTTGTTGATTTTCTGATTAGATGATGTGTCCATTGTTGTGAGTGGGGTTTTGAAGTCTCCTACTATTGTGGTATTACTGTCAATGAGTTTCCTTATGTTTGTGATTAATTGATTTATATATTTGGGTGCTTTCACATTTGGCGCATAAATGTTTACAATTGTTAGGTCTTCTTGGTGGATAGACCCCTTGATTATCATATAATGCCCTTCTGCATCTCTTGATACAGTCTTTATTTTAAAGTCTAGATTGTCTGATATAAGTATGGCTACTCTGGCTTTCTTTTGTGTGATAGATGGTTCTCCATCCCCTTACTTTCAATCTAAAGGTGTCTTTAGGTCTAAAGTGGGTCTCTTGTAAACAGCATATAGGCGGGTCTTGTTTTCTTATCCGTTCTGTTACCCTATGTCTTTTGATTGGAGCATTGAGTCCATTGACTTTTAGAGTGAGTACTGAAAGATGTTAATTCATTGCCATTATGTTGCTTGTAGAGTTGGGGTTTCTGGTGGTGGTCTCTGGTCCTTTCTAACCTTTGTTGCCTTTGGTATTTATTTGTTTGTTTGTTTGTTTATTCATCTTTTGTCCCCTAAGAGAGTCCCCCTTAAAATTTCTTGCAGGGCTGGTTTAGTGGTCACAAACTCCTTTAATTTTTGTTTGTCTGGGAAACTTTTTATCTCTCCTTCTATTTTGAATGATAGCCTTGCTGGATAAAGAATTCTTGGCTGCATATTTTTCTGATTCAGCACATTGAATATATCCTGCCACTCCTTTCTGGCTTGCCAAGTTTCTGTGGACAGGTCTGCTGCAAACCTGATCTGTCTTCCCTTGTAGGTTTAGGACTTTTTTTACCTTGCTGCTTTCATGATTCTCTCCTTGCCTGAGTATTTTGTGAATTTGACTATGATATGCCTTGTTGATGGTCGGTTTTTATTGAATCTAATGGGAGTCCTCTGTGCTTCCTGGATTTTGATGTCTGTGTCTTTCTCCAGGTTAGGAAAGTTTTCTGCTATGATTTGCTCACATAACCCTACTACCCCTATTTCTTTCTCTTCCTCTTCTGGGATCCCTGTGATTATGATGTTGTTCCTTTTTAATGAGTCACTGATTTCTCTAATTCTTAAATCGTTCTCTTTTGCCTTAATCTCCCTCTTTTTTTTCTGCTTCATTATTCTTTGTAAGTTTGTTCTCTATATCGCTGATTCTCTGCTCTGCCTCATCCATCCTTGCCGCTGCAGCATCCATTCGAGATTGCAGCTCAGTTGTAGCATTTTTTACTTCATCCTGACTAGCTTTTACTTCTTTTATCTCTGCAGAAAGAGATTCTAATCTATTTTCGACTCCAGCTAGTATTCTTATTATCATGATTCTAAATTCTGGTTCAGACATCTTGCTTGTATCTGTGTTGGTTAAGTCCCTGGCTGACGTTTTTTCCGGCTGTTTCTTTTGGGGTGAATTCCTTCATTTCATCATTTTGAAGGGAGAAAAGCAATTAATGAGGTAGAAAAAATGAAAATGAAAATGAAAAAAATATTAAAATTAAACACACAGAAACACAAATCAAATAAATGATGGTAGATCCTAGATGTGTTTTGGTCTGGGTGTTGCAAGTGGCTTGATAAATTAAAGAAAAAAAAGGAGAAAAAAGAAAAAAAAATAAATTGTTTGAAAATTTGAAAAAATGAATACACTGAGGTAGACTAAAATGAAGTTATAGAAATAAAATATATTTTGAAAAACTTTACACAAAAGTAAAAACTATAGTAGAAAAAATTAAAGAAAAATATGTTTAATAAAAATTGAAAATAAAAATGAATTTTTTCCCTTTCTGTATTTAAGAAAAATAAAAGAAATGAAAAAGAGAAAAGAAAGAAAGAAAGAAAGAAAGTTGAATAGGTGGACCAGCTAACAGACTGAAATATGACTGAAATTACTTCATTTTTCCCTAGAAGTCAAATTATGAAGTACTTCATAGTCCATGAACTTAGCAGGCAGTGAGACTTGTGTTCTTGGAGAGCGAGGTTGGCCCAGTTGGGCGGGGCTTAGTGTAATGGCTCCGTTCTCCACTAGATGGCGCTGCTAGCCTACTGGGGTGGATTGTGGTGCTTGTAGGTACGTATGCGCATGGGCGGGAGCAGTGAAAATGGTGTTACCCAGTACCCAGTCTCTAGTATGGGAACTCTGTTCTCCCCAATCAGCAATCGCTCACCTGTCCTTCGTCTTTGGCTTCCGTCCACTCTCTGCTTCCACACTGTCTATGACTGAGCCCCAGGCAGCACCTCCCTCCTGAGTTTTGTCTCAGATGCGGCTGCCTTCCCTGGCCCCCCACTTCTAAGGGACTGTGGCTTTGACCCTCTGCGGAGGATCTCACCGAGCAATGGCTGGGTGCCAGCTGCACCCAGGGACGCTTGCAGGACTGTGCTGCTGCCAATGCCCAGAGACTGGGGCCAGGTGCCAGCCCACCCCAGAAAAAGTTCATGAGACAGTGTAGCAGCACCACCTCAGGGATTATGGCAAATCACAACACACATCTGGCACCAGGCTTCACCCCCAATGACATCGTTCCAGCACCAGCGAATGTGGCCATTCTCTGGGGTCTGCTGGGCCCAGGTGGCCTCACAGCCTCTACCAAATGTCCTTCCAGCAGTGGAACCGCTTCTCCCCATGTGGCTCAAGAACGTCCCAGACCCCACTCTGCTCCTGAGGATTCACCCTTCCCACCAGAGCACCTCCAGGTATTGAGCTGCGGAGTTTCAGACTCTGCACTCCCCTGTTTACAGTCTTAATGGAATTTAAACCCTCTTCTTTCTCCTTTCTCCCTGTTTAGTTCAGTCCTTGCAGCTGTTTCCACTTTTCTGCTTTCTCTCCAGCTGCTTTTGGGGAGGGGTGCTTTTCCCATATCCACACACCCCCTGCTGTCTCCATCCTCTCTCCACATGCAAAAGCCGCTCCCTGCCCTCCAAGGCTTCTCTCTCCCCAGGTTCACCTCTCCACACCATGTACCTGCTGAGTTCTGTGGTTCAGGTTGTGCATATTGTTGTGTTAATCCTCAGATCAGTTTTCTAGGTGTGCAGGATGGTTTAGTGTTGGTCTGGCTGTATTTCATGGATGTGAGACACACAAAAAACTTCCATGCTGTTCCGCCATCTTGGCTTCTCCACCCAGGGCGTTTTCTAACACAACTGGAGATATGAATGTAAGTGCACTTCAGAAAGGGAAGGAGATGTAGTCTTGGATCTGAGTCTGTCCATGTCAGCTACAACATTCTGCTGTGAACTTTCCTTATCCAAAAGTGGAGATAATAATTTGTGGAAGACTATATGAGGCTCCAAATGGACATTACATTTGATAGGCAACTTGTGTATAAATTCTCACATTGGGAGCACTAGACAAAAAAAAAAAGAGAGACAAAATGAGATTCAGAATACAACAGGATTTATTAAGAAATATAAGTAAGACTCTCTGCATCTAGGGAGATATTCAAAGTGATCATGACAGGTAGAAAGCATCATAGGAGGACTGAAATATAAAAATGATATGAAGTCTTTCATTATTTGGTGACACCCATGTATGAGTCGTAAGGATTTGTTTCTTTATCTAGATACTTAGAGGGACAGGATGAAGACATGAGTCAAAGACCTGGAGTCAAAGCAGAGATCATGGCTCCATAGCAGGATACATGAAGCAGGATACAGGGCATGTGATTCACAGGACATAAGGAAGAATATAATTTTAAAAAAGTGGTCCATACTTCATCAATCTGATTCACAAGCTCTTAAATAGGCAGATGAATAACAAAGAAGGCTTGCAGCAGCTGGACACAGCAAGGGCAGCAGCATGTGGTCCTACAGCAAGTGGACTGACAGCATATTGGGCAGTAGTCAGGCTAGCAGCAGCTGGATCCAGAGCCCTGGGCTAGGCACCCAGGCAGGCAGCAGCAGGTGGGGTGGTAGCAGGTTCTCGTGCAGTACACGGGGGTTCAGCAACCTGGCTGGCAGCAGCGGGACCCACATCAGTTTTGTCCACAGCCGCTGGACCTACAGCCGCTGGACCCACAACAGCTGGGCTGGCAGCAGGTGGTCCGGCAACAGGTGGTGTGACAGCAAGTTGGGCGGCAGCAAGGCTGGCAGCAGCTCGACCCACAGCCGCTAGACCCACCGCAGTTGTGTCCACAGCCGCTGGACCCACAGCAGCAGGGCTGGCAGCAGGTGGTCCGGCAGCAGGTGGTATGACAGCAAGTTGGGCGGCAGCAAGGCTGGCAGCAGCTGGAGCCACAGCCGCTAGACCCACCGCAGTTGTGTCCACAGCCACTGGACCCACAGCCGCTGGGCTGGCAGCAGGTGGTCCAGCAGCAGGTGGTCCTGCAGCACGTAGGCTGGCAGCAAGAGGAGCAGCACGAGTGGGTCATGGTGTCAGGGGTGGAGGGTGGGCAGGTCCTGTCCGGAGGTGAGGTTGTCAGATTCTGGTGCCTCCTCCGGATCTGGGGCTTTTATGCGCTGGACCCCCGAAGTTTAGACCAATGGGCAGGACTTTCCTTGTTGGTGTTTACATTGTTTTCCATAGTCGCTAGAGGAATTGTAAAAAAGGAAGTTGTTTCCTAAATATGAATTTTTACAAAATAAGTGTTTAATAGTTTTCTATTTGAGAATAACTCATAGAAACATTTTCAGATGAAAGAAAGTTATTCACATCATCAACATTGGTCTTGCTTCAGTGATCATCACAGCATGTGATCAAGTTCCCACTGAGCTGGGTAGGATCAGCACAGTTGTCCTTCCCCAGGTTTGGTCCTTATGTTGTACATAGAATGGGAATATCTCTGGATTGAGGGGCATGATGCTGACATGTTTACACAGATGAACTGAATCATGCCTAAGCCCAAGTCTGTTTCCCCCACAGAGCCCGATTAAAGACTCCCATAAGCATCTGTCTGTTGTAGTACCCTCTGCTACCTACATATCCCAATCCAAGGATCTTTGGGTACAGGATGTCTGGCATAATATCTTCCATATGGGAAGGCAAAACCAAAGCAGGTGGGTAGAAGCAGCAGCAGTACACTGGGACTAAGCAAGCATCAGTCAGTTAACATCCTGAGTGATAAATGGTCCTGATATACCCAGAACTGAGGGCTTGCCCAGCACGTGGAATTTCATTGATATAACTGGGGTGGTTCGGGGAAAGCAGGATAAGTTCATGACTTAATCCTAATTCATTTTTTACATAGTCATTGACCTCATATAACTCATTATATATTTTTTTCTCCTACTTTCTTTTAATTGAAGGAGTAGTCTAGGTAAGATGACACCTAAGGTATTTGTGAGTTCTAAAATGTGCAAATGTTTTTAGAGCTTAATATTCATCTTATTTATTTTTTATTTATTTAAGCCCAAGTTAGTTATATAGTGTAATACTGGTTTTAGGAGTAGAATTTAGTGATTTGTCACTTAAATATTACATCCAGTGCTCATCCCAACAAGTGCCCTGATAAATGGGTCATGGACATTAACATTAATTTTAAAAAGTACTTCAATTGAGATGCCTGGGTGGCTCAGTTAGGTAAACAACTGACTCTTGATATCAGCTTGGGTCGTAATCTCTCTGTCGTGATCTTGTGGTCATGAGTTGAGCCCCACGTTGGGCTCTGCTCTGAGCATGGAGCCTGCTTTGGATTCTCTCTCTCCCTCTCTCTCTTTCTCTGCCCATCCCCTGCTCATACTCTTTCTCTCTCTCTCAAAATAAATAAACATTAAAAAAAATTTTAAGTTCTTCAATTTTTAAATTATAATGCATTAAAGTTAATCGTTTTAAATATGATAGAATATCACCAAATGAACATCCATGTCACTAATACCAGGTTAGCAAATAGAATTTTACTTCATCCCCTTCAAATTATATCCTTCATCATACCCAAAGGTAGGTTATCATTCTATTGACTCACACATTGTATATGTTAATAGTCACTTCAAATGTTTTTAGATTTTTTTTATAAAGGAAATATAGAATTGGCTACTTTTACTTTATATTATGAATGTGAGATTTATATAGGAAATTCCTTCAATTCTGTTTCTTTATAATTTTCCAATGAATAAATATGATATAATGTATTTGCTTATCTACCATTGATATATATTGTGGTACATATATATGTATATTTATACCATTGATATATATTGTGATATATATTGTTGCAGCTGGGAACTATCAAAAATATTACAAATATTAAAATGTTCTATTAATTCTATTGTATGAGTCTTATGATATATATTCATTATTTTTTATTATTTTAAAGTTTTATTTATTTAAATTCAAGTCAGTTAACATACAGTGTACTGTTGGTTTCAGGAGTAGAACCAGTGATTTGTAACTTACAATATAACACCCAGTGTTCATCCCAACAAGTCCTCTCCTTGAGACCCATCACCCATTCAGCCCATCCCCCCACCCACCTCCCCTCCAGCAACCCTCAGTTTGTTCTCTGTGTTTAAGAGTCTCTTATGGTTTGTTTCCCTCTCTGTTTTTATCTTATTTTTCCTTTCTCTCCCCTATGTTCATCTGTTGTGTTTCTTAAATTCCACATATGAATGAAATCATATATTTGTCTTTCTCTGACTGACTTATTTCACTTAGCATAAGTGAAGTTCCATCCACATTGTTGCAAATGGCAAGATTTCATTTGTTGATTGCTGAGTAGTATTCCATTGTATATATGTATACAATATATACATATATGTATAGATATGTATATAGATATGTGTATATATGTATAGATATGTATATATCTATGTATGTATCTATATCTATATCTATGTCTATATCTATCTATCTATCTATCTATCTATATAATCCATTCATCAATTGATGGACATTTGGGCTCTTTTCATAATTTGGCTATTTATTTTAAGTTTATATGAGAGAGAGAGAGGGAGAGAGAGAGAGAGAGATTGAGAGACTCCTAAGCAGGCTCTGAACTATCAGTGTGTGAAGCCCAACGCAGGGCTTGAACTCATGAACCATGAGATCATGACCTGAGCTGAAATCGAGTCAGATGCTTAACCAACTGAGCCACACAGGTGCCTCCATAATTTGGCTATTGTTGATATCGCTGCTATAAACACTGGGGTGCATGTGCCCCTTCAAATCAGCATTTTTTAATCCTTTGGATAATTACCTAGTAGTGCAATCACTGGGTCGTAGGATAGTTCTATTTTTAATTTTTTGAGGAAACTCTATACAATTTTCCAGAGAGGCTGCACCACTTTGCATTCCCACAAACTGCAAAAAGGGTTCCCCTTTCTCTGCACGCTTGCCAACATCTGTTGTTTCCTGAGTTGTTCATTTCAACCATTCTGTCATGCTTGAGGTGGTATTATGGTTTTGATTTGTATTTCTCTGATGATGAGTGATGTTGAGCATCTTTTCATGTGTCTGTTAGCCATCTGGATGTCTTCCTAGGAAAAGTGTCTATTCATGCCTTCTGCCCATTTCTTCACTGGATTATTTGTTTCTGGGGTGTTCAGTTTGAAAAGATCTTTATAGATTTTGGCTATTAACCCTTTATCTGGTATGTCATTTGCAAATATCTTTTCCCATTCTGTTGGTTGCCTTTTAGTTTTGTTGATTGTTTTCTTCACTGGGCAGAAGCTTTTTATCTTGATGAGGTCCCAATAGCTCCTTTTTGCTTTTATTTCCCTTGCCTCTGGAGACATGTCAAGTAAGAAGTTGCTGCGGCTGAGGTCAAAGAAATTGTTGCCTGTTTTCTCCTGTAGGATTTTGATGGTTTCTGTCTCACATTTAGGCCTTTCATCCACTTTGAATTTATTTTTGTGTATGGTGTAACAAAGTGGTCCAGGTTCATTCTTCTGCATTTTGCTGTCCAGTTTTCCAATGAAACTAAAAGCTGGTTTTTTGAAATAATAAACAAAATTGATAAACTCCTACCCAGACTTCTCAAAAAGAAAAGAGAGAGGACCCAGATAGATAAAATCACAAATGAAAGAGGAAAGATCACAACCAACACCACAGATGTACAAACAATAATAAAAGAATATTATGGAAAACTATATGCCAACAAACTGGACAGTCTGAAAGAAATGGACAAATTCCTAGAAACTAACACCTACCAGAGCACAAACAGGAAGAAATAGAAAATTTTAACAGGGCCAAAACCAGAAAATAAATTGAATTAGTTATCAAAACTCTCCCAACAAATAAGAGTCCTCAGCCAGTGGCTTCCCAGGAGAAGTCTACCAGACATTTAAAGCAGAGTTAATACCTATTCTTCTCAAACTGTTCCAAAAAGTAGAAATGGAAATAAAGCTTCCAAACTCATTATGAAGCATTACCTTGATTCCAAAACCAATCAAAGACTCCACTAAAAAGGAGAATTATAGGCCAATATCTCTGATGAACCAGGATGCAAAAATTCTCAACAAGATACTAGTAAATCGAATTCAATAGTACATTAGAATAATATTCACTGTGATCAAGCAGGATTTATTCCTGGGCTGCAGGACTGGTTCAATATTTGCAAATCAATCAATGTGATACACCACATTAATAAAAGAAAGGATAAGAACCATATGATCTTTTCAATAGACGCAGAAAAAGCATTTGACAAAATACAACATCCTTTCTTGATAAAAATCCCTCAAGAAAATAGGGATAGAAGGAACATGCCCTAACATCATAAAAGCCCATATATGATAGGCCCACAACTAATATCTTCAATGGGGAAAGACTGTTCCTCCTAAGGTCAGGAACAGAACAGGGATGTCTCACCACCTTTGTTTAACATAGTGTTGGAAGTCCTAGCCACAACAATCAGACAACAAAGAGAAATAAAAGGCATACACATTGGCAAAGAAGATGTCAAACTTTCACTCTTTGCTGATGACATGATACTCTACATGGAAACCCCGAAAGACTCCACAAAAAAAACCTGCTAGAACTGATGCGTGAATTCAGCAAAGTCGCATGATATAAAATCAACATACAGAAATTGGTTGCATTTCTATACACCAATTATGAATCTGCAGAAAGAGAAATCAAGGAATCTATCCCATTTACCATTGCATTATATATTCATTATATATGTACTTATTTATTTATTTACATGTTTTTGTTGGAGAAACACCAACAGGTGAATTGCTTATGTTATTTCTCTATCAGAATGTTTATATTATAGGAGCACCTAAAAATACAAAGTGAATATTAACATACCTAAAGGGAGGAATATACAACAATACAATAATAGTAGAGATCTTTAATACCCTACTTTTACCAATGGGTAGAAGATCCAGACAGAAATCAGTACGGAAACATGGGCTTTAAACAATGTTACAACAGATGGAGTTAACAGACATATATAGAACATTCCATCCAAAAACAACAGAACACATATTCTTCTCAAGTGCACATGGAATATTATCCAGGACAGATCATATATTAGACCACAAAGCAAGTCTTAATAAATTTAAGAATATTAAAATAAGGGACACGAGGGTGGCTCAGTTGGTTAAGCATCCTGACTCTTGGTTTCGTCTCAGATCATGATCTCACAGGTTGGTGAGTTGGAGCCTGCACTGACATAGGAAGCCTGCTTGGGATTCTCTCTTTCCCTTCTCTACCCCTCCCTTACTCATGCTGTCTCTGGCTCTCTCAAAATCAATAAATACAACTTAAAAATTTTATTAAAAAAGAATATTAAAATCATAGCAAGCATATTTTATGACAAGAGTCGAAACTGTATAAATCAATTAGAAAAAGAACACTGCAAAATTCACAAATACGTGGAAACTAAGCAACATGCAGTGTACAACCAATGGGTTGAAGAAGGATTCAAAACAGAAATCAAAAACTACCTGAGATAAATGAAAACTGAAATACAATGGACCGAAAGTTCCACGATGCAGCAAAAGCAGTTCTTAGAGGAAGTTAATAGTGATAAATGCCTACATCAAGAAACAAGAAAAATCTCGGGGCGCCTGGGTGGCGCAGTCGGTTAAGCATCCGACTTCAGCCAGGTCGCGATCTCGCGGTCCGTGAGTTCGAGCCCCGCATCAGGCCCTGGGCTGATGGCTCGGAGCCTGGAGCCTGTTTCCGATTCTGTGTCTCCCTCTCTCTCTGCCCCTCCTCCGTTCATGCTCTGTCTCTCTCTGTCCCAAAAATAAATAAAAAACGTTGAAAAAAAAATTTAATAAAAAAAACCAAGAAAAATCTCAAATAAACAACCAATTTTACACCTCAAAGAACTTTAAAAATGAACAACAACAACAAAAACCAAAGTTACAATAAAGAAGGAAATAACGAAGATCAGAGAAGAAATAAAGGACACTTCCCATCTAACTATGCCCAAAGGAACATAGCAGGCAAAGGACAATTGTTCTGACCTTTGCTAAGCCAGCAGAAACTATCACATGACCACATCATGTCAAATGACCAGAAATGTAGCTGGTGTTGATTCCTGACTTTCTCATTTCTGGAAAAGGTTCTTATGTAGTATTCTCAATTAAGAAAGTGACAAAGACTAAATTATTGAAGCCTCAAAACACTTTAAAGGAACAACTTCCTCCTTGACAATTCTCCAGTTACTACAAAAACAAACAAACAAACAAACAAAAAACATGTAAACAACACGGAAAGTCCTGTTCATTGGTCCGAACTTTGGAGACGCCAGTGCATAAAAATCCCAAAACAGGAGGAAACATCAAAATCTGAGAAACTCACCTCTGAACAGGAACCCATACTCCATGCCTGACACCATGACCCACTCGTGCTGCTCCCCTTGCTGCCAGCCTACATGCTGCAGGACCAGCTGCTGCAGGACCACCTGCTGCCAGCCCACATGCTGTGGGTCCAGCTGCTGCCAGCCTTGCTGCTGCTCAACTTGCCGTCATACCACCTGCTGCAGGACCAGCTGCTGCAGGACCAGCTGCTGTGGGTCCAGCGGCTGTGCACAAAACTGCTGTGGGTCTAGCAGCTGTGGGTCCAGCTGCTGCCAGCCTTCCTGCTGCTGATTGTCTTACCAAACACCATCTGCACATAACACCCTCCTGTTAACTGGCTTGCCATTTGGGGGCCAAATTTCCTTTCTAGATTTTGGTGAAAGCCAGCGTGCAATCGCCAACATTTTTGTTTCTCATATATGTTTATAAGCTTGTGAATCAGCTTGATGCTGTGCAGAGGACTTCCTCCAAGTCTCTCTCTCCCATGTATGTGGCTCACGTGCAGCTTCAGAAATTCTTGGTACTAAGTTATGGCCTTGGCTTTGATTCTGAAGTCAGGATCACCTGCTCCCTCAAAGTAACTTAAGAAAACAAGTTTTCATGTTTTTTTCATAGATTCCTGCAACTGATTAATAAACTTCATAATCATATTTTCAATGTACTTATGATTCTTTCTCCTACTTTCATTTTTTTATAATCATTTGAGTCATCTCATTAGATGCAAGTGTTTTACATGCCTTATATGCCTCTTAATAAAGTCTATACCCTAATTCTCCCCATATTGTTTTGTTTTACTGTATTGATATCAGAACTTGTATACATATTGGGTACCATATGTATCATCAAACATGAGCTACACAGCAGCCTAACATGAATTGTATTCCACATTTTTAGGTGAGAAAATTTCACTGTGTAATTTCATATAGCCAATAATGGACAGACTCAGATTCAGGACTGGATATTTTTTTTTCCTGCTCAAAGGCAACTACTTTTACATGTCAGTAAAAGTAGCAATAATATTTAGTACTGAGGACTAGTAAGCTGTGCAAATGAATTTCTCCTTTAACAATGGAGGAAATAACCCCTCATATATGCAGATAACATCTGTTCAAAAATCAGTTTCTCACAACTCAGCAAGCAGCAGATACATGTGAGGGCAGGTAGGACTGCATTTTGGAGCTGTCAAGAAAACAGGGAGCCTTTCCCATCTCCATATGTTCAGCCACACGTGCAATTTGTCACCATGAAATCTTGTTAGCATCCATTGCGTCCTCACAATAGAGTCTCATCTAAACTGACTAATACCTTTGTTTCATGCAAATCCAATTCAGAATAACCTCCTTCTACTAAACATCTACCACCAGAATGAGAAAATAAGTAATTCCCTGTAATAAAAAAATGGAGCATATATTGCACTCTCCCTAATATTATGGCCATTTGTCATCCTGACCAAAATGCTATTAAGAAATTTAAGAAAGGGTCACCTGGATGGCTCACTCAGTTGAGTGCCCGACTTCAGCTCAGGTTATGATCTCACGGTTTGTGAGTTTGAGCTCTGCATTGGACTTGCTGCTGCCAGGGCAGAACCCACTTCAGCTCCTCTGTCCCCCTCTCTTTCTGCCTCTCTCTCTCTCTCTCTCTCGAAAATGAAAAAACATTAAAAAAAATTCTTAAAGAAATTTAAGACAAAATTGAAGACTCAGAGACTGTGCAATGAGCACATATGATTTTCTGAACCATCCAAGAAAGTAAACAACCTCCTGTATTCTGTGAGGCAACTCTGAAGGATTTGAGGGGAATTAAGAGTGTGTTCCAGGAGGGTGAGAAGAATGTGAGGAAGAAGACAAATAACACAATGTGGGCATTCATAGGAGTTATAATAGAAAGTTGGCACTCTGGTCCTGAAATAATGGTGCTTCCTCAGCACTCAGGGATGTGAGGCTTGATTTGGGCTCAAGACTTAGGAACATTAGGCCCCGAGTCACCTCCTGGGAGCAGTGGAGGAATCTTGATGAACCGTGAAGGTTCATTTCCAGGACACATGCCAACATTGTAGACTACATATCTGGGATTCTCTGAAGAGACTGCCAAGACCATGCGAGCCTAATACTGTTTCTTAAGAGCCAGATGATTGGGTGATGAGATGAAGAACTGACATAACCTAGTTCCTACTACTTGCCAGGTATTGACCAAATCCTTCATGTATGTTATCTTTAATTCTTTAAGAAGAATTGAGAATTAGAAATTAATAATTTCTATGAAGAAATTTTCAACATAGGTATTAAGGTTCCCATTATGGAGATGAAGAAATAGGACTGAGAAGGGTAAAGTAATGCCAGACTTTGGTTTCTCCCAGAATCTACTCTGAAGGATAGAGTCCAGGCATGTAGTTTCTTTGGGGAGGTCAAATCACACTGGTAGAAGTGTGGGGAAGTGACACAGGGAGGGGGCACTTTAAGGCCAGTGTCACAGTTTGCAAGTGAACCTTAAACCTGAAAAATATATCAGAGATGATGTAACACACACATGATGGGATTCTCCTAATAGCTACAAGGGAGCTGGAGTCTTTTTAAATCAACTCTCCAGAATCGTTGGTTGAGCATTTCTCTCAGTGTGGTACACATAGAAAGCATGGCATTTTGCTGTTGCATGAAAACAGCCCTTAGGCATAGAGATGCAGGTCTGGTAGGTAGAAATCGTCCCCAACACACTTAGATCTATGACATACAGTGGGCATATTCAAGATATTGAGAAACTATGGTTTTCACCAGTCACTCCAATATTTTTTTCATCAGAGTGGTGGACAGACACAATATCTAGAAGAAAAATAAGACTGAAGAGAAAACAGAGGAGGAGAAGCAAGAGGAATTGAAAGGGTAGAAGGAAAGGAAGGAAGGAAGAAGGAAGGAAGGAAGGAAGGAAGGAAGGAAGGGAGGAAGGAAGGAAGGAAGGAAGGAGAAAGCAAAGAGGGAAGAAAAGGGAAGACAAAAAGGGAAATAAGAGAGAGATGGACACAAAGCAGAGAAAGAAGAAGGAAGGAAGGAAGGAAGGAAGGAAGGAAGGAAGGAAGGGAAGAATTAAGAATTAAAAACAATTCAGCACAATAAAGATGTACTCTAAACATGAAGTCACTGACTAGGCTAGTTAACAAGGTTAGGACTAGAATCACCCAACTCACACTGGTTCGTCCATACTGCCCCAGTTACACCCCTGAAAGTCCTACATCCTGAGAAAACACTCAATCCTAGGCAAATCAGCACTACTGGTCAACAAGGATGTACATTGACTGATGCTTGCTTAGTCCCAGTGTACTGCTGCTGCTTCTACCCACCTGCTTTGGTTATGCCTTGTCATGTGAAAGAGATGATACCGGACATCTCTACCCAAAGGTCCTTGGTTGAACTGAGTTACTACAAGAGACGGATATGCCTGTGGGAGTCTTGAATCAGGCTTTTGTGGGGAAACAGACCTGGGCTCACGCATCTACTAAATTTGTCCCCATGAACATATCAGCATCATGTTCCTCTCCCCAGGAATACTCCTAATCCACATACAACCTAAGGACCAAAGCTGGGGAGGGATCACTGCTCTGTCACTACCCAGTCAAACTGGAAATGAATACATGATCTGATGATCATTGAAGCAAGAACGATGCTGCTGATGTGACAAATTTCCTTTAATCTGAAAATGTTTCTATGAGTTATTCTCAAATAGGAAACACATTAAACACCTATTTTCTAAAGATTCCTATCATTTATGGAATGTCTTCTTCTACAAGCCCCCAGTGACTATGGAAAACAATGTAAACACCAACAAGGAAAGTCCCACCCATTGGTCTAAACTTTGGCGGTCCAACACATAAAAGCCCCAGATCAGGAGGAGGCACCAAAATCTGAAAACCTCACCTCTGCACAGGACCTGCCCATCCTCCACCCCTGACACCATGACTCACTCATGTTTCCCCTCCTGCTGCCAGCCTACGTGCTGCAGGACCACCTGCTGCCGGACCACATGCTGCCAGACAACATGTGTGACTTCCTGCTGCCAGACCACATGCTGTGGGTCCAGCGGCTGTGGACAAATTTGCAGTGGGTCTACCTGCTGCCAGTCATGCTACCACCCAGCTTGCTACCACACCACCTGCTGTAGAACCACCTGCTGCCACCCTTGCTGTGTGTCCAGCTGCTGCCATCCTTCCTGCTGCTGATTGCCTTGCCAAGAACCACCATCTCCACGCAACATGGTTTGCCATTTGGAAAACAAAGTCACTGCCAATCATTGTTGAAAGTCAGCATGCAATCGCCAACATTTCTCTTATTCATCTGCCTGTCTACGAGCTTATGAATCAGTTTGATGAAGTGTGGACCACTTCTCCCTGATTCTCTTCTTCCATCATCTTATGAGTCATATGCTAACTTCATGCATCCTGATACCGAGTCATGATCTCTGCCTTAACTCCACAGTCAAGATCTTCACCCTCTCCCTATCAGTAACATAGAGAAAGAAATCCTCAGGATTCATACATAGGTGTCTGCAACTACTGTAAGTCTTCAAATTATGTTTTCTTTCTCAGGGTACTCATGGTCCTTGTATCCTGCTTTCTTCTTTGCATGATCACTTTGAAGGTCTCCCTAGATATAAAGGATCTCATCTATATTTCTTAAGAAATTCTGTACCATTCTGAATCCCACATGATCTTTGTTTCCTTGTACAGCATTCTCAATGTAAGGATTTATACACAGGTTGCATATCACATGCAGTATCTATTTGGAGCCTCGTACAGTCCTCCACTAATTATTGTCTCCATTTTCAGATAAGGAAATTTCACAGTGGAATGTCATGTACCTGACATGGACAGACTCAGATCCCAGACTGTGTCTCCTGCTTTGATGAAGGGCACTTACATTCATCTCTCCAGACAAGTTAGAAAACATCCTGGGACTGAGCACCAGCAAGATGTTCATCTGAGTGTCTTCTTTGACCACAGAAGTAATATTCTCCAGTATATGCAGGTGACATCTGGGACAAAGTTGCAGACATTAGTATCCTACAGTTCAGCCATCAGCAGCCTCATGTGGGGGCAGTGGGACCTTCCCTTTAGAGATCTTGGATCTTTTTGCTGCCTTGGGCTCCATCCAGCCCCTCAGCACTCCTCTGCATCAGATACAGGTGAGCATGCGGTGTCCTCATGAGCCACAGACGTGGCTGAACACACTTGTGTTTGGGTTGTGGAAATCACATTCTTGTTTGGCCTCCTAGTCCTCAGGACCTAATGGCAGAGTTAAAAGGTATCAGACAATTTTATGCCAAACATATTATGCTCCCCAACTGTAAGGCAATTTGTTATTGTGATCAAAATGTTACCAAGACAATTAAGGAAGGACAATGTCAGGGACTGAGAGTCTGTGCAATGGGCATGTATGACTTCAAGTAATCCATGAGCTCTGAACCATCTATAGAACAAACACTATCCATTATTTTGTGAAGGAACTATGAAGCATTTGAGGGAAATAAAGATGCCTGTTCCAGGGTGGTGAGAAGAATGTGAGGAAGAAAAAGAGAAAACAAGGTGGACATTCATAGGAGTTGTGATAGACAGAAGGCTGGCGCTTCTGGTCCTGAACTAATGGTGCTGCCTCAGCACTCAGGGGTGTGAGGCTCAATTTAGGCTCTGAGAGGAAAAGGAGAATTAAGCCTTGGGTCACATTCTGGGATCAGTGGAAGGACCTCTGATGAGCTGTGAAGGCTCATGTCCAGGGCACTTGCCAACGTTGACGCCTACGTATCTGGGATGCTCTGGAGAGACTGCCAAGACTAAACTTGCCTACCTCTGATTCTTAAGAGCTGGGTATCTGTGTGACAGGATGAAGAACTGACATGACCCATGGTCCTACTACTTGCTAGGTATTGACCAAATGCTTCATGTACATTATCTTTAAATCTTTCCTTTTATTAAGTTTTTATTTTAATTCCAATATAGTTGATCTACCATGTCAAATTCATTTCAGGTGTACAATATAGTGATTCATCGTTTCCATACAGCACCCAATGCTCATCACAAATGCACTCCTTAATCCTCGTCACCTATTTCAACCATTCCCCCACCACTGTCTCCTCTGGTAACCATCGGTTTGTTCTCTCTAGTTAAAGAGTCTGTCTCTCTTTTCCTTTGCTCTTTCATTTACTTTTTTAAATTCCACATGAGTGAAACCATATGGTATTTGTCTTTCTCTGACTGACTTATTTCGTTTAGCATTATACTCTCTAGTTCCATCCATGTCGTTACAAATGTAAGACTTCATTCATTTTTATGGCTGAATTATATTCCATTGTAGATATATACCACATCTTCTTTATCCATTTGTCTATCAGTGGACACTTGGGCTGCTTCCATATACTGGCTATTGTAAATAATGCCGCTACAAACATAGGGTTGCATGTATCCCTTTGAATTAGTGTTTTCCTATTTTAGAGGTAAATACCCAGTAGTGCAATTACTGGATCATAAGGTAGTTCTGTTTTTAACTTTCTGAGGAAACTCCATACTGTTTTCCACAATGGAGCCACCAGTAGTACAGGAGAGTTCCCTTTCTCCACATCCTCACCAACAGCTGTTGTTTTTCTGTTGTTGGTTGTAGCCATTGTGACAGGTGTGAGGTGCTATATCTTATAATTTTGAATTTCATTTCCCTGATGATGAGTCACGTTGAGTATCTTTTCATGTGTCTGTTGGCCATCTATAAGTCTTCTTTGGAGAAATGTCTGTTCATGTCTTCTGTCCATTATTTAATTGGGTTACTTTTTTGGAGGTGTTGAGTTGTGTACGTTCTTTACATAATTTGGATACTGACCCTTTTCAGATATGTCGGTTACAAATTCTCCCATTTCGTAGGTTGCCTTTTAGTTTTGTTGATTGTTTCCTTGGCTATGCAGACACTTTTTATTTTGATGTAGTCCTGATAGATTACTTTTGCTTTATTTCCCTGGCCTCAGGAGACCTATCTAGAAAATATTTGCTATTATCAGTATCAGAGACATTACTGCCTGTGCTGTCTTCCAGAATTTTTATGCTTTCAGGTCTCACACTTAGGTCTTTAATCCATTTAGAATTTATTTTTGTGTATGGTGTAAGAAAGTGGTCTAGTTTCATTCTTTTGCCTGTAGCTATCCAGTTTTCCCAACACCATTTGTTAAAGAGACTGTCTTTTTCCCATTGCATATTTTTGCCTCCTTTGTCAGAGACTAATTGACCACATAATTCTTGGTTTATTTCTGGGTTTTCTATTCTATTCCACTGGTCTGTGTGTCTATTTTTGTGCCAGTTCCAAACTGTTTTGATTATTATGGCTTTGTCTTGAACTGTGATAACTCCAGCTTTGCTTTCCTTTTTCAAATAACTTTGGCTATTTGGGATCTTTTGTGGCTCCATACAAATTAGAATTATTTGTTCTAGTTCTATGAAAAATATGCTGTTGGTATTTTGATTGGGATTGCATTAAATTGGTAGTATCTTTAATTCTTGAGGAAATTTTCAACATAGGTATTAAGGTTCCCAATTGTGGAGATGAGGAAATCAGGACTGAGAAGGGTAAAGTAATGTCATAGTTTGGTTTCTCTAGCAAGCTACTCTGGGGAGGACAGATCACACTGGTAGGAGTGTGGGGAAGTGACACAGGGAGGGAGCACTTTAAGGCCAGTGTCACAGTTTGCAAGTGAACCTTAAACCTGAAAAATATATCAGAGATGATGTAACGCATACACACATTGGGATTCTCCTAATAGCAATGAGAGAGCTAGAGTCTTTATAAACCAACTCTCCAGAATCATTTGTTGAGCATTTCTCTCAATGTGGTATGTATAGGAAGCATGACATTCTGCTGTTGCATGAAAACAGCCCTTGGGCATAGAGATGCAGATCTAACACACTTACATCTATGACATATGGCAGGCATATTCAAGATATCATTGACAATCTATGGTTTTCACCAGTCACTCCAATATTTTGTTCATCAGATTGGTGGACAGACACAGTATCTAGAAGAAAAATAAGACTGAGGAGAAAGCAGAAGAGGAAGAGCAAGAGGTGTTGAAAGGGAGGAAGGAAGGAGGGAAGGAAGGAATGAATGAACGAACAAACGAATGAATGAGTGAATGAACAAAGGAGGGGAAAGGGAAGAAAAGACAGAGAAAGAGAGAGACAGACATAGCATAAAAAGGAAGAAATGAAGAATGAGAGACAGGGAGAGGGAGGAAGGAAACAAAAGAATTAAAAATTAAAAACAATTCAGCACAATAAAGTTGTAGTCAGCCACATTAAGTCACTGACTAGGCTAGTTAGTGAGATTAGGACTAGAATCATCCAACTCACCCTGGTTTGCCCATACTGCCCCAGTTATACCACTGAAAGTCCTATATCCTGCAAAAGCCTTTAGTCTTAGGTAAATCAGGAGTACTGGTCAACAAGGATGTACATTGACGGATACTTGCTTAGTCCAAGTGTATTGCTGCTGCTTCTACTCACCTGCCTTGGTTCTGCCTTGCCATATGGAAGAGATGATACCAAACATCCTCTACCCAAGGGGCGTTGGTTGAACTGGGATATACAAGTGGGGTAGGTTGCTACAAGAGACAGATATGCCTGTGGGAGTCTTGAATCAGGCTTTGGGGGGAAAGAGATTTGGGCTCAGGCATGAATTTAATTCATCCCTATGAACATATCAGCATCCTGCTCCCCTACTCCAGGGATACTCCCAGTCTACATGCAACCTAAGAAACAAAGCTGGGGAGGGACTGCTGCTCTGACCCTACCCAGCCCAGCAAGAACTTGAATACATGATCAGATGATGACTGAAGAAGAATGACACTGCTGATGTGACCACTTTCCTTTAATCTAAAAATGTTTATATGAGTTATTCTCAAATAGGAAACACATTAAATATTTATTTTCTAAATATTCTTGAAATTGTGGAACTTCCTCTTCTACAAGCCCCCAGTGACTATGGAACACCATGTAAATACCAACAAAGAAAGTCCTTCCCATTGGTCCAAACTTTGGGGTCCAGTGCATAAAATCCCCAGAACAGGAAGAGGCACCAGAATCTGAGAAACTCACCCCTCAGAAGAAGCCCACTCTTCACTCCTGACACCATGACCCACTCGTGCTGCTCCCCTTGCTGCCGGATCACTTGCTTCCACCCCACGTGCCAT